CAGGTGGTGGAGATGCTGTTGAACACGGTGTTGATGCCAAAGCCAGGGACGATGTGAGTAATTCCATCTTTCCGCACCTTCTGGAAATGGTACACCTGTAACACCTGTCAACAATGCCGATGCATCATCTCCTACAGTATGGCCGGACTGCAGTCCATTATGCCTGCGATCAAGTCTATGTCAAGGTGTTGGAGATGCTGGTGGAGCATGGCGCTGATGCAAAAGCCATGGACGACGTCAGTACCTCCCACTTGCTCTTCCGTCTTATGATGGTACACCTACAACATATGATAACGCTGTATCTAATGCTGAGGCATCATCCCATAGTATGGCCGGACACCACTGCACTATGCCTGCCATACCGGTCGTGTCATGGTAGTGTTGATGCTGTTGGAGCATGGTGTCGATGCAAAAGCGCAGAACAAGGTCAATACTTCCCTCTTTCCCATTAACCTCCCTCTGCTGGTACACCTCTAACATATGCTGATGATGCTGTACCAGGGCGGCCGAGCACCACTGCACTATGCCTGCTATAACGGCCATGTCAAGGTGGTGGAGACACTGTTGGAGCACGGCGTTGATGCTGAAGCCAAGGACGAGGTCAGTGCAGCCCCTCCCTCTGACATGTTGATCTGGACGTCAACCAATCCCTTGCCATCATCATGGTGTCTCTGCTTTCCTCGCGCGCTCAAACGCATGTTGGTCGTCATTTCTTGCATCTTGCCTTTGCACATTTGACGTTATTTTTCCAAACACGAGTTTTGTTAATTATTTGTTAATCAACCCTTCTGTTGAGATACCCTGCCACCGCTTGCCTCATCTGTTCCCCGCTTACTCGTTAAACGTCTTCTGCTTAATCATGCGCATCGTTGCACTGGCTTTATTTGAAAAAATCCCTTGCACATCGCTCAACTCTTACCACACCTCGTCCCTCCCCTGAATATGTTCTCAGAGAGGGGAGACGGCCTTCGATGCTGGACGTCGACGTGGGCATGCCAACAGGCTGGAGCCCGTCTTCGCTGCCCACGAGGCTCGCCTTGCACAGCTATTTGCCTGGCTGCCGCCCTTGCCCAGTCCTGCACCGTCCCTTGAGGTACACACCTCTCCGCTCTTCCTTTTCCAATTACAATCTTTGCTCCCCACTCCATCCCTATCTCAACCTCCCCCAACCACATCCCCCTATAGACGACGGCCGCTGTTGTGGTGTCGGTGGAAGGCTGGCTCAGACCGCTCCTGCCCGAGCAATCCACCACTCACCCTCTCCCGCACCTCGATGCCTTTATCAGCGGTGCCATCAAGCGAAACTCTAATCTCGCAGCAATGGTTACGAAGATCCAGAACACCATCGATGAAGCTCCACCAGAGTTTCCTGCCTTGAACTGGCCTGCCTTCAAAGCGACCATCACCCGCGCCCTCGGCGTCCTCGACCAAGCAGTGCAAGTTCCCGAAGCGCTACAGGGCTGCCTCAGCCAACTGGACCCCAACATTGACAATCTAGAATCGGTACTTGAAAAGATGCAAAGTCTAACAGAGCAGATTGAGCTCCAACCAGTATATCTTGAACTCCAGAACATCTTGGCAAAATGTCCGGCTCCAGCCACCGCGCCCACGACTGCGTTTGAGACGCCACCCACCGACTTTGCAGCAGCTCTGGGCAAACTCGTCATGCTGCACAATGTGGAACCCGAGCGCCAAGAACGGCTTACCAGCACCAATACCAATATCAAGCGGCGGGTGCTGGCGTTGATTGATGCTCTGGACGTCGT